TGTTGGGTGTGTATACTGATTAATATTTTAGTCTTAGATACATGATTTGTTTGTTAGTTGTTATTGGCTTTGTATCGTTCTGATGAGTTAAGCCCTTTTCAACAGATCGTTATAGTTTGTTCTTATGTTGTATTATTATACCTCAGTATGTTTTTTCTATATAAAAAAGAATGAAATATTTGTGCTATTTCATTCCACAGACTATTTGCCAGTCAATAGTTTCAAAGACTATTTCCCCGGTCAATAGTTTTATAAACATATTTCCCGTACTTTTTCATACTAATTTTTCATTGGACAACAATGACGTCATCGACTATTCTGCTTGGATTTGTGCGCTTGCCAACGTTAAACTCTGAAATATCGTAAACGTTATAATCTGTATGTACCTGTCGTAATTTCAAATTTCAAATTAATATATTACTTACCAGAAGCAATTTAAAAAGAAAATCTACGCGACATATTTTAAGAACTAAAACATGTAATGTATGGTATTGGTCTGTCGTCGTCTTCATAATCTGGGATTGCTTTGGTGTACGGTAAAATATTTTAGCTAATGTTTATCATATGCACGGGAATTTTTACACAAGGATTCCTGGTCTTGATTACAGTAAATAGATTATTGACAAATACCACACAGGGGAAAAAACCTGATAGTTCATGTTGTACATGTCTATGTGATCATTTTTTTTTCAAGTGGTGTATGTAGTCTTTTTAGAAAGTTGTTTTGTTCGGTATAATAAAACACTTAATGACTGGTTATGAGGGTAATAGCAAGTTTGTTGTCCCTTTGAAACTAACTATTGCCCTCGGCTTCGCCTCGAGCAATAGTTGGTATCTCAGGGACAACAAACTTGCTATTACCCTCATACCCAGTCAATAGGTGTATACTGTTACACCACTGTCCCAGGTTTTGGGGCAGCATGTTAAACCCCCGCTAAATTCTGTATGTGCCTGTCCCAAATCATGCAGGAGCCTATAATTCAGTGGTTGTCGATTGTTGCTGTATATCATATTTGTTTTTCGTTTGTTTTGTACATCAATCAGACCGTTAATTTTCTCGTTTGAATTGTTTTGCATTTCTCATTTTAGGACCTTTTATATAACTCTGCGGTATGGGTTTTACAAATTGTTATAGGCCGTACGGTGACCTATAGTTGTTAACTTCTATGTCATTTGGTTTCAGGTGGAGAGTTGTCTCATTGGCAATCGTACCACATCTTATGTTTATATTCACACTGAAATGTCTAGCCTGATTTATTGATCATGATCGAAATTATGTTGAAAGTCTTAGAAAATTGTCATAAAAGTATCACATACAAATTATGTTTTCGATGATCCATTTAAAGATCAAATGAAACCCTGTCAGACGGACAATCATTCAATACACCAAATATAGTTAACCTATTGCTTATAGTATCCGGGAAAACAAATCTAATAAAGAGAACAAATCTTTTGACCAATAAACCATGAAAATGAGATCAAGGTCAGAAGAACTCTGCTAGAAAACATGTATACTATGCAACCATTCCATACAACACACATAATGAACCTAATACTTTTAGTACTAGAGAATAAACTTTTTGAATGTGTTTATTACACTTCCATACAATCTTATGAATCACATGTTCTCTTATTTTATCAAATGATAATTTTGAAAAATCTGATATGCATTTGCTGCAACTCATATAATAAATAAATAATGAATTCAAACTTTTACTACTAAATTCTTTCCAAGATAGAAAATGTGGTATGATTGCTAATGAGACTATCCACCATATACACAGATTTGGTTATGAAATTTGGCTGTACCTTTAGAATTCTTATTAAAACACCCCAATTTTTACGGTGATTTTTGTTTATAGATCCCGTAAATTTTCTATTTTATTTTTTACTTTTGATTAAACTTGTGCTTATAAAGGCTATCAATTGAACACCGTAGTAAAATCCCCAAAAAATGTTTTTATCGGTTCTAAAATTGTTTTCGTTTTTTTCAAATTTAAAAAAAAGACTAAATATATTTAGCTATACATATATATTCAGTTTTGAGTACTCATGATCCAACATCCTATTGATAATTTTTACTTATATTTTGGCATTGCACAAGGTCATGCATTTCTGCAGACTAATTGTGAAGTCTTTAACCTAATCTGTTGGATTGATACTTTATTCTGGGAGAACATGATTTATTCTTTAGTTGTTATTGCCTTTGAACTAGTTTTCAGTAAATAAGAGTACTCTTGCATCTACGCTTTGTGTCTATTATTTTTATGATTTTAGATTTTTTGTGCTTCATACAGTTCTATTTAGTTAAGCCATTTGCAACTGATTTTTACAGTTTGTTCTTAAACAAATCTGTCCCAGGTAAGGGGAAGGGTTGTACGCTCACAAACATGTTTAATCCTGCTCATTCTTAATGTGTCTGTCCAATGTATGGACCCTGTAATTCAGCGGTCGATGTTGCTTCGTGTGTTTTATTTGTTTTTTCTTAAATTTTCTTGTTTGAATTGCTTCGCATTTTTCATGTCGGGGCCTTTGACAGCTGACTATACGGTATGGAGTTTTCTCGTTGTTGATGGCCATACGCGACCTATAAATGCTGGTATTCACAACATTTGAACTCTGTTGGATAGTTGTCTCAGTGCCAAGCACACCACTTCTCCTTATTTTTAAATGAACCTTGGAAACACAACGCAGACTTTTTGGACCTTGAAAATGAGATCAAGAGCAGACGAAACTAAAGTCAATGTAGACCATAAAATCATTTCATATACATGTTCTAAATATAGTTGACCTATTGGTTATAATACCTGAAAAACAGACCTTAATATGAAAATTTTACATTGACCAATAAACCCAGAAAATGGGGTCAAGGTCAGATGAACCCTGCCAGATAGACTTGTACACAATAACTCATTCCATACATCAAATATAATTGACCTCTTGCTTATAGTATCTGAGGTAGCGACATGACCACAAAAACTTAACCTTTATCACTTATCTATGAAATGAGATCAGGTAAAGCCTGTCTGAAGGACATGTAGACCTTGCAAGATTCCATATACCAAATATAGGGATACTACTGCTCATAAAATTTAAAGTCATGATGACTTATTTGTAGATCATGTCTTGTAAATCATTTTTGTCGAGCCTTCGACTTTTGTCGAAAAAGCGAGACATAGCGATCCTACATTCCGTCGGCGTCGGCGTCGTCGGCGGCGTCCACAAATATTCACTCTGTGGTTAAAGTTTTTGAAATTTTAATAACTTTCTTAAACTATCCTGGATTTCTACCAAACTTTGACAGAAGCTTGTTTATGATCATAAGATTATATTCAAAAATAAATTTTGTAAAAAAAAATTCCATTTTTTCCGTATTTTACTTATAAATGGACTTAGTTTTTCTGCCAGGAAACATTACATTCACTATGTGGTTAAAGTTTTTGAAATTTTAATAACTTTCTTAAACTATCCTGGATTTCTACCAAACTTGGAAAGAAGCTTGTTTATGATCTTAAGATAGTATCCAGAAGTAAATTTTGTAAAAAAAAAAATCCATTTTTTCCGTATTTTACTTGTAAATGGACTTAGTTTTTCTGCCAGTTAACATTACATTCACTCTGTGGTAAAAGTTTTTAAAATTTTAACAACTTTCTTAAACTATCCTGGATTTGTACCACACTTGGACAGAAGCTTGTTTATGATCAAAAGCTAGTATCTAGAAGGAAATTTTGATAAAATTTTGTTCCATTTTTTCCGTATTTTACTTATAAATGGACTTAGTTTTTCTTCCAGTCAACATTACATACAGTCTGCAGTTTAAGTTTTTAAAACATTTATTAGATTCATAAATTATCCTGGATTTTTACCAAACTTGGACAGAAGCTACTTACATTCAAATGATAGTATAGAGAGGAATATTTTTATTAATTTTTTTTCTCATTTTTGTTGAGCCTGCGATTAACAGCAAAAGTAGGCGAGACACTGGGTTCCGCGGAACCCTTACGAATTTTTTCTAATAAAATTTCTCTGTATCTATTAAAGTTTGCAAAATAAGACAAAAATGAAAAAAAAATAATAAAATTTGACATTTAAGGGTAATAACTCCTATTTATAAGAATTTAGATTGATTGATTGTTGGTTGCTTAACGTCCAGTGGCAAATAAGAATTTAGAAGTCATCTGACAGTTTTGATGTAAATGGACAGCTGGTAGATATCAATATTCTGAACATTTGTGCCCCTGTCTGATTTTCTCTATTCATAGCGGTTTTCAAGATAATAGACAAAACTTGCATTTACTCCTATGTTCCATTTTTAGCCGGGTCGGCCATCGTGGTTGACAGGCGGGGTCATCTGACACATTTTTAAACTAAATACCCCGATTATGTTTGTGGCCAAGTTTGATCAAATTTGACCCAGTAGTTTCAGAGGAGAAGATTTTTTTTAAGTGAATGGACGACGATGACGTACATGTACGACAGACACCAAGTGATGAGAAAAGGTAAGCTAAAAACGCCTCTGCTCGTTTTTAAAAGTGTAATTCAGTTAAAATTTGGATGATTTCGATGCAGATACCAGTAAGTCATGTCCAGAAAGATATATCTATTATGGTCTCAAGTGAAACTAATTCAACTGAGGTATTGATTGTCAATGTTGAAACAAACATACTGAAATGACAAATATCAATGCTGATGTTATGTTACCCATTGTGAGGGACTCCTATTGTACTGACATCTTCACAAACTTCCTACTCAACCTAAAACAATCATTTTAAAGTCAATGCCTGAAAATGTGGGGTTTCATAGAAAGGAGACATATAGATGTGAATGTAACTGCATACCAAATCAATAATCAACCAAAATTAGTTTGTTTCTCTTTTGCTTTTTGTTGGTTTGATGTTGAGAGGGGCCAAATTTCTCAATTTTTACTTTACTAAAACAAGTTGTGTAAAATTTACAGGAAATCAATTTAGGTCACTTTTTTTTTTAAGAAATAATTAGCATTTGTCATTTAAATCATTTATTGGTTTTCAACAACATTAACTATGTCATAAACAAAAATTTTGAATTTCAACATTCAACAATGTAGATGTGTAACATAACATTGATATTAAAGCTTATGAAAATGATACATAACTATAAACTTAGAGAATTAAATAATTGGATGTGAATATTGTCAGAGATGTTACAATTTTCATGATTTTTGGTTGACAAAACAAATTTCACAAGATATATTTTAACAGTGCATCCTATAAACATGATAAAAAAAGAATATGAAAGTTGTAACCAGAAGTTGACTCAATAAATTGCCAAATTCCTAAGTACCATAAAGTGTGAAAATTGAACATCAACTAAAAATTCTTGCCTGCAGATGTATGTTTCAGTAATTTATTTTAACAGTTTATATTGACAAGTAAAATTTTCTTTAATTTTTTTTTATCTAATGATTTTAACAAAAACTGTATTAAAAAAAAACAAGAAAATATTAAATAGTCATAATAATTAAATTTCACAACTTGTCAGCTACATATCTACTAATTTTATAATCAATCATAAATATGAATTCATAAGTATTAATACATTTTAAAACCATCAGAAAGCTGCCATTTACAATGTACATGTATTCAATGAATAATCAAAAAAGTATTAGCTTCAATATATATTCATCTTCATGATCTTGGGACTTTGAAATATATTTACAAGAAATGAAATGAATAAAAACATGTAATATGATTTCCAGCTAAACATGCTAAAACAAGATCTTAATACAGGTTTTACAATATATTTGACATAAATTGTTAAAGGTAAACAATGTATTTTTAGAGTTCCCAAGTAATTCAATTTTTGGGGAATTATAGGAATCTAGTTTACTTAGCTTGTATTTCAGATCTTTATATCAAACAAAGTTCAGACTTTTCTTTGATTAATTTGTTTTGTTAATTGTCTGTAAGCAGTGATTAAAAGCAATGAACCCATTATTTTCTTCTAAAAAAAAGTTAAGTCTGTGGACAAAAGCATTCATTCACTGGTCATATGATTTACTTTTAAAATTGTGATGAATGTCAATAAACTGATTATTTGAAAGAATGTAAATCACATCAAATACATTGAATTAATTAAAACAAACCTGCCACCGTTTAAAACATATAGTTTTAATGAAGTGGCCTGGTGCCATGACAATTGAAGTGATTTTTTTTAAGTACTATTTATCTATACATTTATGAAATTTATGAAATTTATCGATAGAATGACACTTTAACAAATGTGTAAATCTAAATCATGTAGATTGAAGACAGTAACATTGAAAATATCAAGCAAGTCATGAAAAAAAAAATCACTGGCAAATACAAAAATTAAGAAGTTGAATGCTTGTTCCATTTTATTTAGCAACCCAACTAACCAGAAATGACCCACTACCAAATTGTAAGAAATGTTCCACTTAAGTGTGTGATTTTTTTTTTAATTCATGTACATGATGTATGAAAATTCAAAACTCAGCCATTATTTAGTAACAGGGATCACTTTGATAATTTTTTTATTTTAATTGGACCCTTAACAGAAAGAAACTGGAAATAACTGCATAAAATGACCCACGGTTTATTCAATAGTGAATTTAATGTTACATGTGTGTTTACATGATATAAACAAAAAGTCAATGAATGTTCTTTTCAAATGAAAAAAAAAGTTATTTATTGTAATAGGACACTTGAAGTTCTCTGCCATTATACCAATATCCGTTGAGACTATAAATAGCACTCTCTGCCTCTTCATATGTACCCATTGTGACAAATCCATATCCTTTACACTGACCCTTTTGACTATCATAGATGACATTCACTTTCATCACATTTCCATATGGACTGAACAGCTGATATAGTAATCTTTCATTGGCATCGTTACCAATGTTGTACACATACAGTACACATCCTCCAGGAACTTGTGGAACATGACCTTGATTTCCCATCATTCCACCACCATAACCTTGATTACCATAGTTCTGCTGATAGGGTCTTCCTCCACCCATTGGATTGTACCTTGTGCCAGCAAAACGATTGCTAGCCATGTTGTTTCGAATGGGACCCCCAGCTAAATTACGACCTGCTGGTGGCAAGAACATTTGTTGAACAGGAGCCCTTACTTTCTTAGCATTATCATCAGCCTTTTTTATTGTCAGTGCAGTTGTTCCACCCTCTGGGATCTGTCCATTCATGCTTTCCATGGCATCATCAGCATGGGATTTCTGATCAAAAAGAACAAATCCAACACCTTTGGATAAATTTGTGTTATGATCTATCAGTAAACGAGCTTGGACAATGTTTCCAAATTTAAGAAAACCATTCTTTAAGTCCTCATTACTCCAATGCTTTGGAATGTTTGTAATATATAAATTTGCCCCTTTGATGCTATCTCCACTTGGCCTTGAATATGCTACTTTCAGGGTTTTATTTTGCAATTTAAGACCATTGAGTGATTGTATTGCTTTCCCAGCGTCTGCAGGATTCATGTATTCAATAAAACCAAACCCATAGCTGTAATTTGTGGCCTTGTCGCGAACAATTTTTGAACTGGATATTGGACCAATACTCAGGAACATGGAATGGAACTCCTCGTCTGTGAGGGACTGTGGCAAATAGTTGATAATTAGTTTGTGTTCCAGGCCTGGAACTGGATTTTCCATCTGTTGTGCCTGCATCATACTTTCTGTTGACCTCTTCAGAAACCATTGTTAAAAAAAAAAGAAAAAAAACACAGGCAAAAAAATTAAAAATTCACTGTAAAAATTAAGAAAACAAGAATTAGAATGTTATGTAGTACCATATACATGTATACAATCATTTATTAATTTTGAATAATAGAAGTTTCAAGTTCACATGGACTAGTAATATGTGCACATCATGTTTGAACAAGAAACCATTATGGTGTACATGTATGAATTTTAGTCTGAAATGGTCATTTTGATCTCAACTTTTAGTATTTACTTTAACATAAAATATGAGTCTTGACCAACCTGTTAAGAGTTAACATTAGACATGTTAGATGTATTTTATATTTTGATATTTTTTCAGATACATGAATATTCTTTGAGGTACACACCATGCGAGATCCTCATTTGTAGTCCAGGACTTTAAACACCCCTTTGAGGTACATATCTGTTTAATAATTCAATATATACTATTCAGTCTTTTTGAAAGCAATCAATACATGTACAGAGAACAATAACTTTTAGACAATTATGGTATATCTTGTACATGTTTTTTTGTTTTGCACAGGTTAAAAAACAGATTTCAAGGCAATACATTTAACTCTGGAAGGTATCATCATTCTGATAATTTAGGTGCAAACAGGAAGCACAAAATGTAGGTAAATCCTAACATTTGTGAGCATATTTAACCCTGTCAGTTTTTCCCTATCTTTTATAGTTTTCAAGATATACATGTATGACCAACAATGCAATTTAGTTTACCCTATCTTCTACTTTCAGCCATGGCAGTCATGTAGAAACTTCTAACAAAAATCACTGCCTCGGTGGTCCTGTGTTCGCCTCAAGTGCAGGAGGTCGTGGGTTCGAACCCGGCCATGTCAAACCAAAGACTTTAAAATTGGTATTTGCTGCTTCTCTGCTAAGCACGCAGCATAAAGGAGTAAGAGCAATGACTGGTCAGCTCGGAGTCAGAATAATGTATCCGGGTAAGGTGATATGTCTTCCTGCAGACTGTTTCCTTGTGAACTAGCATGTTAAAAATCTGGCTCAGCGTGTCGGTCTAGTACAAAGCAGGGTAAATGTCCATATTACATTAACATGTTCTCGTCCTGAATATGCATATTAATTTGACACTGGACCTTAATCAGTCATCCATCATCATTATCAAACAAAAATCTGAACATACATTTACAGTGTATCACAACATCAGATTTTAATTGGATTGGCAACTTGTATTACAGGGTTCTCACAAAGGCGAGTCCTGGATTCATGAAAATCTGTCTGGACTCATCATGTTCAAAACAGGTGAGTCCAAACATGCATTCAGATTATAAAATTTTGTATAAACTGATCATATATATATACAATATATGTACATTGTCGGAAAATATAAAATTTATTTGTATGAGCTTTAGAAACAGGACGAAAAGCGAGGCTCGCCGAGCTTTTCTCCTGTTTCGTAGCAAGTACAAATAAATTTTATATTTTCCGACAATGTACATATATTGTTTTTATCCTGAAACTTACACCCAAAACTTGAAACTTTAGTTGTTAAAATCTAAATCATTGTCTCTAATTATCAAAAGAAATCGACATAGTTTAAACGCGGACCGCGAAGACGACCCCAAAATGAACTGGTACGCAAAAAGAAATATCCACATTACCGCTTGCTCAACATGGAAGCGGGGTAACAGGAGACTTTATTTGTACAAGTACAAATAAATCAAAAATTTATTTGTGTACCTGTTATTTGTACAATAGTTAGCTGATTACAGGATAAATACATGTATCATCATTTATATCTATTTTTAGAGTTTAAAAAAACAGATGATGTCATTTCCTTCCTCTTTTTTTGTCATTACGACTGAAATAATATATATATATGATAACTTATATAGCCATGGTTTTAGAATTTCATCTTCTCACTGTTGGACACACCAGGTCAAAAAAGATGAGTCCCAGGGCCCTCGGTCATAAAACTATACTCAGTACTCAAGAGTAGAAATTTTGTGCTCGAAATGACAAATCCAGTTTTCAGATTGGTTTATTTCTCAATCTGAGAACGATTATCGTGCTCCAAAATTTTATGACTGCAAGGCTTCAAAATTCCTTAGTAAGAACCCTGTAATATTTACAATAAATTTCAAACAAAATATGTTTAAATAAGCAAGTCTGATAAGTGATATTTACTTCACTTACTCACTGGTCCCCTTAGTGAATTTTACAAGGCTTCAACCAATTAAGATTTTTTACAAAACACCTTTTTTTCCTGGTCTAATTTATACAAAGCTAAATTTGGATGTTCATGAGGGCATAGATTATTTTCATATTAAGGACTTTCGACTCCGGCGTATATAATTTTATCATAGGTTACCCTCTCTGTGGTAGGACATTATGGTACTCCATCAAGTAAGAGCAAGTTACAGAAGTGAGATCAAGCTTACAACTGGTATCAGGTCATTCAGGCCCCAAACCAATCTGACAAAGAGTCAATCTGGCCCCAAGTCGATTCTGCCCAAATCGTCCAGCCCCATGATAAAATAATGAATAATTTCTATAAAGGTAGGAGAGTTTAGTAAGGTATTTTGATTCAGCTGGCTAAGTGGCAAATTGCTCATGAAAAAGTTGTGTAAATTTCAATGATTGGAGGAATACTTACATGTATTAGAAATAGTATTGATGGTCAATGACAGCAGATAATTAACTTTTTAAGAAAGTGATTCTGCAAATCAAACAATAATTGTCAATTCGATTAGAACAACTTTAAACATTGTTAAATGTGGGCTGAATGGACTTGGGCCGGAACGACTTGGGGCCAGATCAACATGAAAGCTTACAATTGCTGCAATTTAAGGAAACCAATAACTATTTTAAGATGATTTTGTCGTCTACAGAATTTCAGAAATCATACAAGTTTTTTAATTTCCCAAAATTTTACTTCTTTTATCTTGCTCTTACTTAACCAGTACTAGAATAACCTAACAAGAGAAGGTAAATTGTCAAAAAATTCTTAACGCTGGAACCAAGAGTAGGTAATATATGAAAATAGTCTACGTGTGCACGTTGTCGTTGACCTCAAACATGACGGAAAAGGGAAATAACTCCCAACTTAAATTTGAACTATCTATAAAGTTAAACTCATAATCATCAATCCTTTTCTTGTTATCAAAAATGGCAATATTAATGGGGACGGGATCAACCGGTAACGGATGAACTAGGGGCGGGAACAGAACAACCAGTAAGGGAAGTATCAAATGAAAACACAAAGAAATAAAGTCTAATCAGCGGGATGGTGATTCATGGACAAAAACCATTCAAACGAAAACACATAACTACAAACAGTGAAAAAATGATGTTAGAAAAAGTTTCATTTTGCAGGATAAAGTAATTTATCTACCTAGTTTTGTCTTTATTCCGGATTTTGCAGGATGGTCAAGCGGAAACTTAATCTGAAAGAATGATCAAAAGACAGATTTCAGTATTTGAAACTCTGCTATCTTCGCCACTGATCAAGTTCGTCCCAGTAATCTGATGTGATTTTTTCAACCCACACATGAACAAAACTAGAAATAATTTTGATTTGAATACGCTGAAAGCCAAATACAGTCAACGCTTAAGAGAACCTTAACAGAACAATGGGAAAAGATTACTTTACCGACATGTTTTTTCACACATTTACTTATGGCTCTAATACGGCTGTGGCTGAAGATCATAAAATGGTGATTATATATATATTATTGGGTTTATATTTATATATTATTGTCAAATTTATTTGTGTCTCGATCTCAATAAAAAAAGGTAGTGGCTATTTTACCAGTCCCGGCAAAAATAGCCTGCTTAGCGCTATTTTGTCGGCTTAGGCAGAATAGCGATTTATAAAGAGTTTTGCTAATTTGACGGTCTTTAATAATGTAGAGTCGTCAGTATATAACTACGAATAGAAAGAAATGTAAAAATATACACGTTAAAAAAAAGAGGCGAAGGATACCAAAGGGACATTCAAACTCATAAGTCGAAAATAAATTGACAACGCCATGGCTAAAAAAGAAAAAGACAAACAGATAAACAACAGTACCCAAAGCAACATAGAAAACCAGACTGAGCAACACGAACCCCACCAAAAACTGGGGGTGATCGCAGGTGCTCCGGAAAGGTAAGCAGATCCTGCTCCACATGTGGCACCCGTCGTGTTGCTCATGTAAGTACAACTTGGCCCGGTGATATGTCTAATTGGGTTGTTCATATTCGGGGAAAAGGGACGAGATTTTAGTTACGACAATTGGAACGTCATCTGTGATATTCCATAACGGTCAACCATCTCGTGATTGCGTCCGTAAAATTTACGAAGGGATTACTTCAACTTGGAACTCTTTGTTTAATAGTTTCCTTGTGGGAAGCAACCCTCTATCAAGGAAATCATGATAGGAAACACAAGCCCTGGAATATCGTATCAACTGGGAGATATATATACTCCGTATGCAGGCGCTGCTGGAATGTTGCATAGAAATGGAATGTTCACAATTGGAAAGCTCTTTTGTCGTATAGCGACCCTCATTGTCAATTTCTAGATGTAAGTCAAGATATGAGGCACACTTTGTATCCTTTATCTCAAGTTCGATGGGATAGATGCGTTCAACATACTCACCAAATTTTGAATTATTTAGTGCAAGAACATCATCTAAATAGCGGAAAGTGAAGTTTAAGGATACTGCTAACTTCTTTTCTTTCTTCCTAAGAAGTTTCTGTATGAAGTAAGCCTCATATGAATAAAAGCCTGGAACAAGTCGGCAAGAAGAGGAGCACAGTTAACATATTAATAAGAAATCTATTAAAAGCATAGACCTTCTTTTAAAATGAATGCATATCAAAATTGATATTGCAATAAAAAATATCCCATATGTTTTGAAAAATATCCCATAAATTTTGAAATTAAAAGTTACTTTACATACAAAAAAAATGTCTTTTTTCAAAATATAATACATAAGCAAAGCATGTATATTTAAATTGATGTTATAATT